GTGTCACAGAAAACAAAACGGGAAATGTGAACACAACCAGGTCCGGAACGTCCCGGAACAGAGCAGACCGAAGCCACCGCCTCTGCTGAGTGTCTGCCGGACCCCTTGCCGCCTCGCCCCCAGTGCCGCCGAGGCCGGGGCTCGCTCTGCGCCTCCAGCAGGTGTGACCGCGGCCTGGGAGGTTCAGGAAGCTGGACCCCAGAGGGCACTGAGCGGCTGCCCTGATGCTCTGACTTCCCCTGCAGAGCACATCGGGGCGCGCACGTCTGCGTCCTGGGGTCCACCCGCGTTCTGAGCCCAGTGCCTGGGGGATGCAGGCTCCTGACCAGTGACGGGGCAGCTCACGCCGGGCAGGTCGGCCGTCACCGAACGGACGTGCCGGGGCTTGCAGGGAGGAGGCCTGTGCTGGGGGGAGGCCTGGGTTTGGGGGGGAGGCCTGAGTTTGGGGGGGAGGCCTGTGCTGGGGGGAGGCCTGGCTTTCGGGGGGAGGCCTGGGTTTTTCCTAACTACGGGGAACAGATAAGATTCTGGGCGCCCCTCCTCTCTCTCCTTCACACGAATAACGAGGCAGCGGGGCGTGGGGGACATCAGAGGAGACTCCTGAGGGGTCAGAGGTTAGCACAGATGGGTCCCCGCCGTCCCCTGGGAGGTCAGGGGTCCTTCCCAAGGTCTGAAAGGAGGCTCCTCCACCTGCAAACTGGCCCTGCCTCCTGGCCTCAGGCCCCGCCTCCTGGCCAAACCAGGGTTGGGGGTAGGGGAGCCCCCATCCTTAGATCCCACTCCCCTCCCGTCAACCAGTGGGCAGAACCCGGCACCCATTTCCTCTCTGTGTCTCACAAGTAACGCCCCACGGCGGCACCCGCTCATGGGAGATACTCGCATGGTTACTGGCAGCATCGATGCCCGGCACAGCGCACACTGTGACCGCAGCCTGCAGCGCACCGCTGTCTGCACATAATCACACTGACTTATATCTTAAAGTTGCTCAGTAGCTCTAAGGTCCTGATCTCCCTGGGGCAGCAGAGCCCGAGGACTCAGCCCTCTGGGGGCTGCACGTGCCTGGGACGGGCCAGACCCCCTGTGGGGACAGGGAGGCGGAGAAGGT